TGAAGAATAATAGATCAGTAATACGATGTTTCTAAAGATAAGTAACCAAAATAATGAATATGTGTGTTAATGAACTCACATTGCATTCTACAGAGGACAACCAAAAGTACACACACCACAGTTCAACTGGAATCTTGATTAATGCGATGCTCGGTGAGAGCAAGGGAGACAAGTCAACAGTCCAGAGTCTGTCCGGCAGCCATAAAGAGAATACTGACATGCAAAGGTGGCTGCTACATACATCATCATCATCAGGTAGCAGGTCCTTTGCAGAACATTGCTCTTGTCAGTCTGTGTGAAAGAAATGCCAGCTCCCCCTCCTCGTTCACCATTATACCCAAGCTTATATCCTGTGTCCATCTTCATGCTGGTTGGCACCTGCCTCTCCCTCCTTGTTCACCATTATACCCAAGCTTATATCCTGTGTCCATCTTCATGCTGGTTGGCACCTGTCTCTCCCTCCTTGTTCACCATTATACCCAAGCTTATATCCTGTGTCCATCCTCATGTTGTTTGGCACCTGTCTCTCCCCTCTCGTACAATGTCTTCTGCTATTATTTTTCCACTCCGTCGAGGCTCACAATATGGTCAAAATACTTTAGCTTTCAAAACAATATGCTGATCACCAGCCAATCTCCTTCATATTCAGATCTTTTAGGACATCAGTATTTCTTTTCTTCTTTGTCCATTGTATTCTAGTCATCTCTCTATAGCATTTTGGCTCAAAAGCCCCTATTTTTTCCTTAAGGACTGCGAGATAGGACACGACTCACATCGGTATGTTGCTACAGGGAAGATGCCTGCTCTCTACATGGGTATGTTGCTACAGGGAAGATGCCTGCTCTCTACATGGGTATGTTGCTACAGGGAAGATGCCTGCTCTCTACATGGGTATGTTGCTACAGGGAAGATGCCTGCTCTCTACATCGGTATGTTGCTACAGGGAAGATGCCTGCTCTCTACATCGGTATGTTGCTACAGGGAAGATGCCTGCTCTCTACATCGGTATGTTGCTACAGGGAAGATGCCTGCTCTCTACATCGGTATGTTGCTACAGGGAAGATGCCTGCTCTCTACATCGGTATGTTGCTACAGGGAAGATGCCTGCTCTCTACATCGGTATGTTGCTACAGGGAAGATGCCTGCTCTCTACAGCGGTATGTTGCTACAGGGAAGATGCCTGCTCTCTACATTTGGATTTTCTTGCTGGTGCTGTAACCACAGACTTGAAATGCTGTTTAATCAGTGTACCGCTGTGGCCATCCTCATTCTGATATGAGGGTAACGTTTAATTCTAACATGTAAACATTTCACTCTGTGGCCATCCTCATTCTGATATGAGGGTAACGTTTAATTCTAACATGTAAACATTTCACTCTGTGGCCATCCTCATTCTGATATGAGGGTAACGTTTAATTCTAACATGTAAACATTTCACTCTGTGGCCATCCTCATTCTGATATGAGGGTAACGTTTAATTCTAACATGTAAACATTTCACTCTGTGGCCATCCTCATTCTGATATGAGGGTAACGTTTAATTCTAACATGTAAACATTTCACTCTGTGGGCATCCTCATTTTGATATGAGGGTAACGTTTAATTCTAGCATGTAAACATTTCACTCTGTGGCCATCCTCATTCTGATATGAGGGTAACGTTTAATTCTAACATGTAAACATTTCACTCTCTGGGCACCCAGAAATGCATCCAGCCTTAGCTTACAATCAACTTAACTGTCCTCTGGTAGTGAAAAACTTGATAATCTCATGTGTATATAGTTGAGCTGATTCAAGAACCAACATCACAACACTCAGGGCATTCCCATAAGCACTCCATCCCTATCTTCAGCAGTTAGTGAAGTGTTCCGGTACTAATGGTGCCAGTAGCATTCTGATTAAATGTCTGTCTTGCCTTTCCTCCAGAACCTCTAGTCACTCCCCGCTGCATCAGTCTCACCAGAGTGTATATGATATGTAAACAATGTGAGTCCAAACATTATGTGAACAATTTTATAGCTCAATAGCAGTACGTATATAAATAACATATTAGCTAAACATACATATTGTAATCCAACATTCCATTAACTTAAATACTTTTCGCTCAGTGACTGATGTGATTCATATCTACATTCTTCTTTGTTCACCTGATATTTCTTGTTGACAGCAGTGCTAGGATATTTGCCCTTTCCAGTTTGTACAGACATTTGTTGGGCCATTCTAACATCTAACTTGTCTGTCTACAGTCGCGCACCACTTTTAGTAGCAGTCAGCAAAACATGTGTGGCTGTCTGTGTTTCGTGCATTTAGTCGGAATGTGGACAAAAGAACTATATATAAAACAGAATGTGTATGACAACAGAACAATATATGAAGTGCAAAGTGTATGACAGAACAGTATATAAAACAATGTGTAGAAGAAAACTATACTGTATATGCAACAACAGAACAATACATAAAAACAGAATGTGTACTATAATAGAACACTATACAAAACAGAATGTGTACTACAATAGAACACGATAAAAAAAAACAGAATGTGGAAAACAGAACAATATGCAACTATCTAGACATTTAACAATCTGTGCAGTATTTCATTCACCATGTGAACAATCTGTGCAGTATTTCATTGACCATGTGAACAATCTGTGCAGTATTTCATTGACCATGTGAACAATCTGTGCAGTATTTCATTGACCATGTGAACAATCTGTGCAGTATTTCATTGACCATGTGAACAATCTGTGCAGTATTTCATTGACCATGTGAACAATCTGTGCAGTATTTCATTGACCATGTGAACAATCTGTGCAGTATTTCATTGACCATGTGAACAATCTGTGCAGTATTTCATTGACCATGTGAACAATCTGTGCAGTATTTCATTGACCATGTGAACAATCTGTGCAGTATTTCATTCACCATGTGAACAATCTGTGCAGTATTTCATTGACCATGTGAACAATCTGTGCAGTATTTCATTGACCATGTGAACAATCTGTGCAGTATTTCATTGACCATGTGAACAATCTGTGCAGTATTTCATTCACCATGTGAACAATCTGTGCAGTATTTCATTGACCATGTGAACAATCTGTGCAGTATTTTCATTGACCATGTGAACAATCTGTGCAGTATTTCATTGACCATGTGAACAATCTGTGCAGTATTTCATTCACCATGTGAACAATCTGTGCAGTATTTCATTGACCATGTGAACAATCTGTGCAGTATTTCATTGACCATGTGAACAATCTGTGCAGTATTTCATTGACCATGTGAACAATCTGTGCAGTATTTCATTTACCATGTGAACAATCTGTGCAGTATTTCATTGACCATGTGAAACAATCTGTGCAGTATTTCATTGACCATGTGAACAATCTGTGCAGTATTTCATTTACCATGTGAACAATCTGTGCAGTATTTCATTGACCATGTGAACAATCTGTGCAGTATTTCATTGACCATGTGAACAATCTGTGCAGTATTTCATTGACCATGTGAACAATCTGTGCAGTATTTCATTGACCATGTGAACAATCTGTGCAGTATTTCATTGACCATGTGAACAATCTGTGCAGTATTTCATTGACCATGTGAACAATCTGTGCAGTATTTCATTGACCATGTGAACAAAGCTGATTATTCAAAATTAACCTATCTAAATAACCACAAATCACTTATTTACGTGTATGTCTCTGGCACTTTCTGTCCCTCTATCTGCTTATGCATCCAACCCATCTATCTGCTTACTCATCTATCTGTCTAAGTTACCTGTGCAATAACCATACAAAATCTATTTATCTATCTATCTAACATCTACCAGGCTGCAGGCTTAATCTGTCTATCCACCTGTGCACACCTTTGTATGAATGTCTTAGTCTCTCAGTGCCTGTCTGTCCTGGTAGCTCAGTGCCTGTCTGTCTTGGTCTCTCAGTGCCTGTCTGTCTTGGTCTCTCATTGCCTGTCTGTCTTGGTCTCTCATTGCCTGTCTGTCCTAGTCACTCAGTGCCTGTCTGTCTTGGTCTCTCATTGCCTGTCTGTCTTGGTCTCTCAGTGATTGTCTGTCTTGGTCTCTCAGTGTCTGTCTTGGTCTCTCAGTGCCTGTCTGTCTTGGTCTCTCATTGCCTGTCTGTCTTGGTCTCTCATTGCCTGTCTGTCTTGGTCTCTCATTGCCTGTCTGTCTTGGTCTCTCAGTGCCTGTCTGTCTTGGTCTCTCAGTGCCTGTCTGTCTTGGTCTCTCAGTGACTGTCTGTCTTGGTCTCTCATTGCCTGTCTGTCTTGGTCTCTCATTGCCTGTCTGTCTTGGTCTCTCATTGCCTGTCTGTCTTGGTCTCTCATTGCCTGTCTGTCTTGGTCTCTCATTGCCTGTCTGTCTTGGTCTCTCAGTGCCTGTCTGTCTTGGTCTCTCATTGCCTGTCTGTCTTGGTCTCTCAGTGCCTGTCTGTCTTGGTCTCTCATTGCCTGTCTGTCTTGGTCTCTCAGTGACTGTCTGTCTTGGTCTCTCAGTGACTGTCTGTCTTGGTCTCTCAGTGACTGTCTGTCTTGGTCTCTCAGTGCCTGTCTGTCTTGGTCTCTCATGCCTGTCTGTCTTGTCTGTCTGTCTGTCTCTCTCATTGCCTGTCTGTCTTGGTCTCTCAGTGCCTGTCTGTCTTGGTCTCTCAGTGCCTGTCTGTCTTGGTCTCTCAGTGCCTGTCTGTCTTGGTCTCTCAGTGACTGTCTGTCTTGGTCTCTCAGTGACTGTCTGTCTTGGTCTCTCAGTGACTGTCTGTCTTGGTCTCTCATTGCCTGTCTGTCTTGGTCTCTCAGTGCCTGTCTGTCTTGGTCTCTCATTGCCTGTCTGTCTTGGTCTCTCAGTGCCTGTCTGTCTTGGTCTCTCAGTGCCTGTCTGTCTTGGTCTCTCAGTGGCCTGTCTGTCTTGGTCTCTCATGCCTGTCTGTCTTGGTCTGTCAGTGCCTGTCTGTCTTGGTCTCATTGCCTGTCTGTCTTGGTCTCTCAGTGCCTGTCTGTCTTGGTCTCTCAGTGCCTGTCTGTCTTGGTCTCTCAGTGCCTGTCTGTCTTGGTCTCTCAGTGCCTGTCTGTCTTGGTCTCTCAGTGCCTGTCTGTCTTGGTCTCTCAGTGCCTGTCTGTCTTGGTCTCTCAGTGCCTGTCTGTCTTGGTCTCTCAGTGCCTGTCTGTCTTGGTCTCTCATTGCCTGTCTGTCTTGGTCTCTCAGTGCCTGTCTGTCTTGGTCTCTCATTGCCTGTCTGTCTTGGTCTCTCATTGCCTGTCTTGGTCTCTCATTGCCTGTCTTGGTCTCTCAGTGCCTGTCTGTCTTGGTCTCTCAGTGCCTGTCTGTCTTGGTCTCTCAGTGCCTGTCTGTCTTGGTCTCTCATTGCCTGTCTGTCTTGGTCTCTCAGTGCCTGTCTGTCTTGGTCTCTCAGTGCCTGTCTGTCTTGGTCTCTCATTGCCTGTCTGTCTTGGTCTCTCAGTGCCTGTCTGTCTTGGTCTCTCAGTGCCTGTCTGTCTTGGTCTCTCAGTGCCTGTCTGTCTTGGTCTCTCAGTGCCTGTCTGTCTTGGTCTCTCAGTGCCTGTCTGTCTTGGTCTCTCAGTGCCTGTCTGTCTTGGTCTCTCAGTGACTGTCTGTCTTGGTCTGGTCTTGCATTGCTGTCTGTCTTGGTCTCTCAGTGCCTGTCTGTCTTGGTCTCTCATTGCCTGTCTGTCTTGGTCTCTCAGTGACTGTCTGTCTTGGTCTCTCATTGCCTGTCTGTCTTGGTCTCTCAGTGACTGTCTGTCTTGGTCTCTCAGTGCCTGTCTGTCTTGGTCTCTCAGTGCCTGTCTGTCTTGGTCTCTCATTGCCTGTCTGTCTTGGTCTCTCAGTGCCTGTCTGTCTTGGTCTCTCAGTGCCTGTCTGTCTTGGTCTCTCAGTGCCTGTCTGTCTTGGTCTCTCAGTGCCTGTCTGTCTTGGTCTCTCTGCAGTGCCTGTCTGTCTTGGTCTCTCAGTGCCTGTCTGTCTTGGTCTCTCAGTGCCTGTCTGTCTTGGTCTCTCAGTGCCTGTCTGTCTTGGTCTCTCAGTGCCTGTCTGTCTTGGTCTCTCAGTGCCTGTCTGTCTTGGTCTCTCATTGCCTGTCTGTCTCTGGGTCTCTCATTGCCTGTCTGTCTCTCTTGGTCTCTCAGTGCCTGTCTGTCTTGGTCTCTCAGTGCCTGTCTGTCTTGGTCTCTCAGTGCCTGTCTGTCTTGGTCTCTCAGTGCCTGTCTGTCTTGGTCTCTCAGTGCCTGTCTGTCTTTGGTCTCTCAGTGCCTGTCTGTCTTGGTCTCTCATTGCCTGTCTGTCTTGGTCTCTCAGTGCCTGTCTGTCTTGGTCTCTCAGTGCCTGTCTGTCTTGGTCTCTCAGTGCCTGTCTGTCTTGGTCTCTCAGTGCCTGTCTGTCTTGGTCTCTCAGTGCCTGTCTGTCTTGGTCTCTCAGTGCCTGTCTGTCTTGGTCTCTCAGTGCCTGTCTGTCTTGGTCTCTCAGTGCCTGTCTGTCTTGGTCTCTCAGTGCCTGTCTGTCTTGGTCTCTCAGTGCCTGGTCTTGGTCTCTCAGTGCCTGTCTGTCTTGGTCTCTCAGTGCCTGTCTGTCTTGGCCTCTCTTGGTCAGTGCCTGTCTGTCTTGGTCTCTCATTGCCTGTCTGTCTTGGTCTCTCAGTGCCTGTCTGTCTTGGTCTCTCAGTGCCTGTCTGTCTTGGTCTCTCAGTGCCTGTCTGTCTTGGTCTCTCAGTGCCTGTCTGTCTTGGTCTCTCAGTGCCTGTCTGTCTTGGTCTCTCAGTGGTCTCTCTCAGTGACTGTCTGTCTTGTCTTGGCTCTCTCTCAGTGCTGTCTGTCTTGGTCTCTCAGTGCTTGTCTGTCTTGGTCTCTCAGTGCTTGTCTGTCTTGGTCTCTCAGTGCTTGTCTGTCTTGGTCTCTCAGTGCTTGTCTTCGTGGTCTCTCATTGCCTGTCTGTCTTGGTCTCTCAGTGCCCGTCTGTCTTGGTCTCTCTGTCTTAATCTATAAGTGCCTGTCTCTCTTATATATGATTAACAATGTATTGATCAGCACTCATAGAAAGAAGTAGTAAGACAGAAGGACACACTAGACAACATAAAAAATTGCAAGCTATAGTTATCGTGCCAGGAATCGAACCTGTCACCTCCAGATGGCATGTGTGCCTCGCTATGGAGACAAGTGTACTAAGAAGGCAACTAACTAGGCAGACCCCCCACCCCCTCACACACAAAAAAAAGGTGTCTTCGCTATCATGTCTATCATACAGCTTGAAATCCACATCTATAGAATACGGAAGAAATTCATATCAAACTATTTAAATGGCACCATAGGTTACAGAAATTTATATTAACAAAGCATAGGATTGTCTGTTTTAGTCTCTCGATGCCTGTCTGACTGAATCCATCAGTGCTTGTCTTAGTCTCTGACTGCCTGCCTGCCATAATCTTTCAGTGCCTGCTGACTAATGTAATCTAGCACTAACATGAGTATATGGAATTATATATAAACATTGGTACTGGAAGTAGAGGCTCAGTCGTAGCCCATGTCGAGATGAGTGAGAACAGAGGATAACTCCGAGGCCAGTTCTGGCGTGCTGGCACAGAGTATCCTACGATGTAAATAATCCAGTTCAGATCCTGTGGGTAAACAAATGTAAACAAATTCCAAATGTGTTCCATAAGTTCCTATAGTAAAGCAAAGCAAAGTCAAGTAAAGGATCCTTTCCCACGCCTTCAGGCGTGTTGGGTATATAGGGCTAGACCTAGATTTTTTTTAGACCAAATATCATTTGGTGAGGGATGTGGTTAGTATCATGCCAGCTGCCTTTACTTCCCATGACTGTACCTTCTACCCATTCAAGGTTGGGTCAACCTGGGAGCCAATGACATTTTGACAGAAAAGTCCGGACCCCAACAGAACTACGAATCACATTTAGCCGCTAGACCATAGATAGTTCCCATGTATTGGGGAAAAAAAACACATTTTTCAACAAAAACTATTTTTCATTTATAAAAATTCCCCGTGTGGGTTCCGGAGCCCCATGGTGGGGGAAAACAATAGACCCACTGCCTCCCCAATAAGAATGGCGTAAGAATCGACCAGCTGGGGGCTACCTTTGAGGTTGAACTGCATCTGCCTGAGATGAAAGGAAGCAACAATCTGCACACACATCTGATGTGTAAAATGGATGTGCACACAACACAGGTTCTGGAACAAAATTAAAGTCCAAAGATGGATGAACAACTAGACCTTTCCACTGGAGTTTACAGCCAGTGAGCATGAGGAAAAAGAAGAAGATTTATAAAATAGGATATATACAATTACCATTGTAACGTGACTGCCACTTCTGAAAAACTCATATCTGCACAGCTGGAGTTATGCTTTAATGGTGTTGGTGATATGTTTATTTCCTATGTATGGAAACTTATAGGACACATTCCTATATGAGCTGGAGGAGCCACCGTGACTCACTGTAGTGGCTAGATGCTTGCCTGATATGCCTTGGGTACACTAACCTTGGCTCCCAGACCGACCCAGCATGAGTAGCAGGTAATGTCTTGGGAAGTAAAGGTGATCGATCACCACCTCACCCAGGCAGTGCAGACTGGTATCTAAAACATGAGCCTAGCCCAATATGCCCAATGTCCCACCGTGTCAAAAGGGTCCTTCACTTAAATGGGCACTGCTTGCAGGAGACTGCGTGGCTATTTCTTCTTGTCTTTTTCACGTTCACCAGTTTTTTCTCCACCCCTGGACTCTAGTCTTGTTCCAGCCACCCCTGGACTCTAGTCTTGTTCCAGTCACCCCTGGACTCTAGTCTTATTCCAGCCACCCCTGGACTCTAGTCTTGTTCCAGCCAGCCCTGGACTCTAGTCTTGTTCCAGCCACCCCTGGACTCTAGTCTTGTTCCAGCCACCCCTGGACTCTAGTCTTGTTCCAGCCACCCCTGGACTCTAGTCTTGTTCCAGCCACCCCTGGACTAGTCTTGTTCCAGCCACCCCTGGACTCTAGTCTTGTTCCAGCCACCCCTGGACTCTAGTCTTGTTCCAGCCACCCCTGGACTCTAGTCTTGTTCCAGCCATCCCTGGACTCTAGTCTTGTTCCAGCCACCCCTGGACTCTAGTCTTGTTCCAGCCACCCCTGGACTCTAGTCTTGTTCCAGCCACCCCTGGACTCTAGTCTTGTTCCAGCCACCCCTGGACTCTAGTCTTGTTCCAGCCACCCCTGGACTCTAGTCTTGTTCCAGCCACCCCTGGACTCTAGTCTTGTTCCAGCCACCCCTGGACTCTAGTCTTGTTCCAGCCACCCCTGGACTCTAGTCTTGTTCCAGCCACCCCTGGACTCTAGTCTTGTTCCAGCCACCCCTGGACTCTAGTCTTGTTCCAGCCACCCCTGGACTCTAGTCTTGTTCCAGCCACCCCTGGACTCTAGTCTTGTTCCAGCCACCCCTGGACTCTAGTCTTGTTCCCGCCACCCCTGGACTCTAGTCTTGTTCCAGAACCTGAGTGTTGCATGCACATCCGTTCTACAGATCTGACTGATGTGGCCAGAGAACAAGATGCATACATGTGTTGTAATTGTAACAGACTCTGAAAGCATGCTGAAAAAGGTGAAGACAGGGATGCTTTGGGCAGAGTGGCAAGCTTCACTGGAAAGGTCACAGGTGATGAGCATACTTTGGATCTTTTCTCCAGGCCATGCCGGCATGGTGGGTAATGAACAGGCAAAGATTGGCTGGATCTGCACCACTGGGTGGTGAATTGAAACATGAAAAGGCAGATGTGGTCAAGGCCCTTTGGGAACAAGCAACGGAATCAGTAGAGAAAGAAGATTATTAAGGCCTGGAGAGAATGAGGCACCTGGGTGTAAACAGAGGGTGTGGCCGGCTCACTACACTCAGAGGAAAGGCAAGACGGAATTTTAACCAGACTGTGACCGGTACCATTAGTATTCAAACTCTGCGCTGGCTGCTGAAGATGAGGACAGAGCATGCATGGGAATGCTCCGAGTGCTGTGATGTCAATTCCTGACTCAACTCAACTTATCTGTATGCACTGTTGGGTTCTGCTATTTGAAGTTATGGTGAAGTTAAACATTTAGGACCCAACAAGTTAGGAGGAACCTGTTCCGATGTGCAGCAATGAATCTTGGTCTGTGAACAAACAAATCCGGAAGAGCTTGCTGATAGAGATGTGCTTTCTGAGATCAATATTGCAGATATCTTGGAGAGCCACAATAAAAAATTAAATAGAAAACAAAATTGGTTTCATTTCCACAATACAGCATCCATTGCATAGCTACATCGAATAATGTAAGGAATCTGAATAAAATTTGTACATGTAAAACAGTCCATGACCTGAACTCACTTAGCCACAATCTTTATGACCATTTTGTATAAACATCTGATGGTTCTAAAAACATATGGACTTAGAAACCCACTGTGGCTGCTTCAAATTTGTCAATACCCTATCTGCAAAACAGAAAGGCATTCTATCAAAGCCTACAGCTTGAAAAAGTTTTTAGCCCACCGGGAGAGGACGTACCCGAATCACCGGCGTAACAGGCAGACTGCTTATCAACTGTACTAGCGAAGACTCAGTAATTTCATTCAAACGAAATTATATAATAAAAGGTTCCTGTTCCATATTTTTAACTACATGACCTCTCAAGTCCCTAACTACGACCTCTTGAGGCCCTGAATGGGATTTTTTGTCTTTGAATAATTTGGGACCGTTATTCGGAAGAATGCCAAATTATATGTGTAAAATACATACTGAACTACATTGTTTATGAATTACACTCATTTCACAGAAACAGTTTGTGAGACAATATTTTCTGAACGCCTCCGTAAAATGTATTACCTGTGGGATCCTGGACAACAGCCCCAGCCTCTGTGGCGATTAGTGCTCCAGCTATGAAATCCCATATGTGTATACCGTATTCCACGTACGCATCACCACGTCCTGCAGCTACATATGAAAGATTCAAAGCTGCAGATCCATATGACCGGATTCTGAAAAGAAATTATCAACATTTGAAGTGACATGCAGTTAAAGGCACACAATTCTGGATGTGAAAAATTAAGGTTTTACACAAATTGAGGTGAAATGGTCAAATTTCACAATTTTGTGTGTATCTGTATGTACCAGTGTATCCAAACATCTGTGTGTGTATCTGTATGTACCAGTGTATCCAAACATCTGTGTGTGTATCTGTATGTACCAGTGTATCCAAACATCTGTGTGTGTATCTGTACGTACCAGTGTATCCACATGTCTGTGTGTCTGTATGTACCTGTGTATCCAAATGTATGTGTGTGTATCTGTACGTACCAGTGTATCCACATGTCTGTGTGTGTGTCTGTATGTATCAGAGTATCCAAACGTCTGTGTGTGTGTCTATGTACCAGTGTATCCAAACGTCTATGTGTGTGTCTATGTACCAGTGTATCCACACGTCTGTATGTGTGTGTCTGTATGTACCAGTGTATCCACATATCTGTGTGTGTATCTATGTACCAGTGTATCCACACATCTGTGTGTGTCTGTATGTACCAGTGTATCCACATATCTGTGTGTGTATCTATGTACCAGTGTATCCACATATCTGTGTGTGTATCTATGTACCAGTGTATCCACACATCTGTGTGTGTATCTATGTACCAGTGTTTCCACACATCTGTGTGTGTATCTATGTACCAGTGTATCCACACATCTGTGTGTGTATCTATGTACCAGTGTTTCCACACATCTGTGTGTGTCTGTATGTACCAGTGTATCCAAACATCTGTGTGTGTGTATCTGTATGTACCAGTGTATCCAAACATCTGTGTGATGTGGGTGTATGTATGCACACGCGGGTTTTTGCATGCACTTTACAACTCATGCTTTTGTGTTCTTTAATAATATTCATAATATACATATTATCATTTGATCATAACATGCTTTATTAGTAAAAATACAACTGCTGTGCGAAAGATGGTTGACTGGAAGGGCCGAATGTAAGACGGGCCTGCGTGCCCAATTTGTGACCCTTTGAAAATAAAGTTCGTTCGTTTGTTCGTTCGTTATGTACCAGTGTATCCACACATCTTTGTGTGTGTCTGTATGTAACAGTATATCCAAACATATGTGTGTGTCTGTACGTACCAGTGTATCCAAACATCTGTGTGTGTGTATCTGTATGTACCAGTGTATCAAAACATCTGTGTGTGTATCTATGTACCAGTGTATCCACACATCTGTGTATGTCTGTACCAGCGTATCCACAATTCTTCTGTGATTCTAAGATAGATTTACTATTAATGTGTTAAATATGACTACTAAGAAGTGGGAGGTCTGTGGCTGGACTTGACAAGTAAGAGAGTGTCACAGGTCTTTACAAACTGAGAACCACTGTTCTAGGCCATGCACGTGAGGAAAGGTGATAAGTTCTTTTTTTCCCCCAGACAATTCTGGAAATGTTCCAGTACCTTTGTTTGTGAGTCACACTGGTCAGACCAAATCTGTTGAGGTTTTGACCCAGATTGGTTTTGGTAGGCAAGTGTATGAATCAGATGCCACCGCAGCATTGTCGAAAGTTTGGAACTTGGTCTCTTTTGTGTCTGCTGTGAAAACATTCAGGGACTCTCTTTTGGGACAGAAAGAGTCAAAAGGAAACAATGTGACAAGTGGGACCCACTCACCCGTGAGAATGTGTGACCACTGTATGCATGTTCTTCATCTTGTCATTGACCACAGCTATGTCCCTGGAGCTACCGGCTTCCATGATGACAACCGACTTCTTCAGCTCTAGAGAGTAGATACAAGATCAAGTTTAGATACAAGATCAAGTTTGGATACAAGATCAAGTTTGGATACAAGATCAAGTTTAGATACAAGATCAAGTTTAGATACAAGATCAAGTTTAGATACAAGATCAAGTTTAGATACAAGATCAAGTTTAGATACAAGATCAAGTTTAGATACAAGATCAAGTTTAGATACAAGATCAAGTTTAGACACAAGATCAAGTTTAGATACAAGATCAAGTTTAGATACAAGATCAAGTTTAGATACAAGATCAAGTTTAGATACAAGATCAAGTTTAGATACAAGATCAAGTTAGTCCTTCAGATGGTGCCGGAAGTTGGAGCCAAACAGAGAAACTTTGACAAGCAGGTGAGGCATCAGACACATGGTGCGTTGACAAATTGAAGCTGATGATGAAATAATTATATCTCAACTGTAGTGGAATATCATTTAATCATCAAGTGCCTTGTCAAATGGCAAGGGTGATCATGCCTCTCCAGCCTAGGCAACTGTGTATATCAGTTTGTGTGCTGACACCCTTCCACGCCATGAGACAAGGCTGTCACAAATCGTCTGCTTCTGTCTTCCTCTGTCTCTCTTTATGAGTGGCCACCCTTAGTTCGCCTCTTCTGGGTTGCACTTTTATTTTTATGACATGGATTGAGAATTGCACACATGGATTGATTGTGTCTTTGTTTCATAAAAGGCAGCTTTTGACCTGTCCAATTCTGTTGTTGATCTCTGTGATACATCTCCCATCGGATGAAACTATATGTTAATATTTACTTCACTTTCAAAGCTATGCCAGATCTTCCTCCTCACAACAAGTAATGCATTTTTGTTTATTCAAGGTACATAAATATACAACGATCCTTGCTGGACTGCCTTTCAAGAGTTATACAGCAGAATGTTGAAATGTATTGTCGCTCACACAAAAAAAAGTATCTCTTTTCTTTTTTTAAATAAATTCTTAATAAGACCACAACTACTGTGCCGAAGTGTAGGGCAACACAACAAAACAAGTGTGCTGGATCGTTTCCAAGTTTGTGAGAAGTTGTAAAGGAGTAACCTAAGTGGTCAGAGTCATTCATGTCAGTACTGTAAAATTTGTTTCCCACCTAACTAGAATTATACAGGTGAAAAAAACAAAGAAAATGTTTGTTTTGATACAATTGGGGCAGTCTGAATGTTATTTATGCATAAAACATTAATGTTGAGATGAAAATAGGAGCTCTGTGCAAAACATCACGTTCCCAAGATAAGTAATTGTTAAGAAATTTTGGAAAATACAATGGCACCAATTAAAAAATGCACCATAGACACATTTTTATGGACCGATTGGTCCTCAGTGGGTAATGTCTTCAATATTATGCCAACCACCTTTATGTCATTTCCTGGTGGACATTCTCTTTGCTTTAACCTGGAAGCCAAGACCAAGTCAACAACAACAAAAATGTGATTTGATGCGGATTCGAACCCCAAGACTTTCAGTCCAATAAGCAAGCATCTAGCCAGTGTCCTTCCAGGGCTCCTGTGAAGTTTTAGGTCTTCACATATTCTAGGGGATGAGTATATGGTTGCTAGCCAGTGTCCTTCCCGTCCAGACTTCCTTTCCACACTATTCCCACAACATACACAGGTCCATCAGACACCAGTCATACTTCTGTTGTCTACTCCTGAGATGACTGGCAGTGTCAGGGAAGAACAAGATCTCTGGAAGACACCAGTCATACTTCTGTTGTCTACTCCTGAGATGACTGGCAGTGTCAGGGAAGAACAAGATCTCTGGAAGACACCAGTCATACTTCTGTTGTCTACTCCTGAGATGACTGGCAGTGTCAGGGAAGAACAAGATCTCTGGAAGACACCAGTCATACTTCTGTTGTCTACTCCTGAGATGACTGGCAGTGTCAGGGAAGAACAAGATCTCTGGAAGACACCAGTCATACTTCTGTTGTCTACTCCTGAGATGACTGGCAGTGTCAGGGAAGAACAAGATCTCTGGAAGACACCAGTCATACTTCTGTTGTCTACTCCTGAGATGACTGGCAGTGTCAGGGAAGAACAAGATCTCTGGAAAGAGCCCTTTTGTTTATACTGTATGCAGTACTTTCAGTGTCTTTGATATTTCAGCTGTCCATACTGATCCAAAGCTGCTGTGGTGTAGCGGCTAGACACTCGCCTGTGAATCAGAAGGTCGTGGGTTTTGGGTCCTGGGGGAGCTGGACTTTTCTAAAAAATGACACTGGCTCCCAGGTGGTCACAGCCTTGAGTGGGAACCACATCCCCCACCAAGTGCTGATTGGTCTGTAGAACCAGGCGCAGTCACAGAGGTACGGGCGGTGGGCCTGACCACATCACCCACCAAGTGCTGATTGGTCTGTAGAACCAGGCACAGTCACAGAGGTACGGGCGGTCGGCGTAACCACATCACCCACCAAGTGCTGATTGGTCTGTACAATACAGACCTGGCCATATAAGCCTAAACACAGAACTGGTGTTGTCTGTGGCCGCACACTGAGAGAGATCACGAGGATGGGATCTGAGCACTTATGGACATTTCACAGAATTGGTGACACATGAGACAGATCAAGGATGGGATCTGACTTCATTTCCAATGAGGATGATCAGTCAAATCATCATCATCATCATCTGCTGTGTTGTTCCTACACCACAGTTTCACTGACTGTCCTGAGCAATCCTTTCGACACTGTGTATGCAATTCTTCGTCTTCTTTGCGTTCACCAGCTGTACACTCTGGCGGAAAGTTCTGGTTGTTCGTTCACTTCTAACCGCAGTCCTGCTCCAGAACCTGAGTGTTGCATGTGCATCAGTTTTACAGATCTGATTCACCTGAATGCAGACGGTTGGTTCCTTGCCTCTCAGGCAGATGCACTCTGACTTCAGAGGAAGCCCCCAACCAGTCGACTCTTACGACATGCTTTTGGGTAGGCAGTGGGTCTATTCTTGTTTTCCCCACAATGGGACCCCGGAACCCACACGGGGATGTATGCAATTCAGTTCAGCACCTTTTCCCACTCTCATCAATGTTTATTAGAAGAGGTTCTCCTGGATGTGCTCGCTTCATCAAAACATTTGTTTCCCAGTTCTTTTGCGATTCTTTGTCTTACAATGGGCCCAATATATAGCCATATCCTTTCTATTATCTTCTTCGCATTCACCGGCTTTAAACTCCAGCGGAAAGTTCTAGTTGTTCGCCCACTGCTGGACTCTAGTCCTGTTCCAGAAACTGAGTGTTGTGTGCACATCTGTTTCACAGGTCTGACTCATTTACATGCATGCTGCTGGTTGCTTGCATCTGCCTCTCAGGCAGACGTACTTCCAACTTCAAATGAAGCTCCAATTTAGTGGGCATGCTTTCGGGCAGGCAGTGGGTCTATTCTTGTTTTCCCCACAGCAGGGCTCAGGAACCCACACAAGACACTTTCTCTTATAAAGATAACAGTAAATGTTCAACCACAACAGTAATAGTGGTTGTAAAATAGTGCCAGGAGGCTGTCAATGCAAATATCACACATTCCCTGACAATGACACAGTACAAGATAGAGATGTCACAGTACAACCCAGAGATGACACAGTACAACCCAGAAATGTCACAGAACAACCCAGAGATGACACAGTACAACCCAGAGATGACACAGTACAACCTAGAGATGACACAGTACAACCCAGAGATGTCACAGTACAACCCAGAGATGTCAATGTACAACCCAGAGATGACACAGTACAACCCAGAGATGTCACAGTACAACACAGAGATGACACAGTACAACCCAGAGATGACACAGTACAACCCAGAGATGACAAAGTACAACCCAGAGATGTCACAGTACAACCCAGAGATGACACAGTACAACCCAGAGATGTCACAGTACAACCCAGAGATGTCAATGTACAACCCAGAGATGACACAGTACAACCCAGAGATGACACAGTACAACCCAGAGATGACACAGTACAACCCAGAGATGACACAGTACAACCCAGAGATGTCACAGTACAACCCAGAGATGACACAGTACAACCCAGAGATGTCACAGTACAACCCAGAGATGTCACAATACAACCCAGAGATGTCACAATACAACCTAGAGATGTCACAGTACAACCCAGAGATGTCACAGTACAAACCCAGAGATGTCACAGTACAACCCAGAGATGACACAGTACAACCCAGAGATGTCACAGTACAAACCCAGAGATGACACAGTACAACCTAGAGATGACACAGTACGACTCAGAGATGACACAGTACGACTCAGAGATGACACAGTACGACCCATAGATGACACAGTACAACCCAGAGATGTCACAGTACAACCCAGAGATGACACAGTACAACCCAGAGATGTCACAATACAACCCAGAGATGTCACAGTACAACCCAGAGATGACACAGTACAACCCAGAGATGACACAGTACAACCCAGAGATGACACAGTAAAACCCAGAGATGTCACAGTACAACCCAGAGATGACACAGTACAACCCAGAGATGTCACAGTACAACCCAGAGATGACACAGTACAACCCAGAGATGACACAGTACAACCTAGAGATGACACAGTACAACCCAGAGATGACAAAGTACAACCCAGAGATGTCACATTACAACCCAGAGATGACACAGTACGACCCAGAGATGACACAGTACAACCCAGAGATGTTACAGTACAACCCAGAGATGTCACAGTACAACCCAGAGATGACACAGTACAACCCAGAGATGACACAGTATAACCCAGAGATGACACAGTACAACCCAGAGATGACACAGTACGACCCAGAGATGACACAGTACAACCCAGAGATGTCACAGTACAACCCAGAGATGACACAGTACAACCCAGAGATGACACAGTACAACCCAGAGATGTCACAGTACAACCCAGAGATGTCACAATACAACCCAGAGATGTCGCAGTACAACCCAGAGATGACACAGTACAACCCAGAGATGTCACAGTACAAACCCAGAGATGTCACAGTACAACCCAGAGATGACACAGTACAACCCAGAGATGACACAGTACAACCCAGAGATGACACAGTAAAACCCAGAGATGTCACAGTACAAACCCAGAGATGTCACAGTACAACCCAGAGATGACACAGTACAACCCAGAGATGACACAGTGCAACCCAGAGATGTCACAGTACAACCCAGAGATGTCACAGTACAACCCAGAGATGACACAGTACAACCCAGAGATGTCACAGTACAACCCAGAGATGTCACAGTACAACCCAGAGATGTCACAGTACAACCCAGAGATGACACAGTACAACCCAGAGATGACACAGTACAACCCAGAGATGACACAGTACGACCCAGAGATGAGACAGTACAACCCAGAGATGTCACAGTACAACCCAGAGATGACACAGTACAACCCAGAGATGTCACAGTACAACCCAGAGATGACACAGTACAACCCAGAGATGTCACAGTACAACCCAGAGATGACACAGTACAACCCAGAGATGTCACAGTACAACCCAGAGATGTCACAGTACAACCCAGAGATGTCACAGTACAAACCCAGAGATGTCACAGTACAACCCAGAGATGACACAGTACAACCCAGAGATGACACAGTACAACCCAGAGATGTCACAGTACAACCCAGAGACACAAATACACTGACAACGGCAAACCTTGAATGTTGCTGGGCTGTAACTTGTTCCCGTTCAGGAAAGCTCCATGACCTAGCCGAGCTGTAAACAGTTCTTCCTTCATGGGAATGTAGACCACTCCCACAACAGCCTGGACAAAGACAAACAGCTGTACAGTTTTTTAGAGGTGTTTTTTTTTACATATTGTAGACACTTCAAAAACAATTAGCTTGTTTATTCAGACCACTAGAATATCAGCCTGGATGACAACAACAATCAACTCTGGTCTGTTTACACACACTGCTCCAACAACTATGGTTTGTTAAGGCTGGTATTTGATTAAGAAGCAATTCCGATGTATCTTTCTACATAAGTGCTGCCATCTCCTGGCACTGATCACACAAGAGGAATCTCAGCACAGTACACAAACTCTGTAGCAGCAGCAAGGATCATAGTCTTATAACAGATACAGCCACTGGGGCATGAGGTGGCAGATGCTCACACACTCTAGGTCATGGTTATAAGATGGGGTGTCTAGTTCCCTGTCCTGTCCCAGACAAATGCCACAAGATCCTGGAACTGACCCAGCACCCAGGTTCATCAGGCAGAGCGGTCACACCGGTAAGACAAGAATTCTGCTCCTTTCTCAGCAATCAATGCTGGCCATGCTGAAACAACACACAAGTCAAGGACCCTCTTCCATGCCTTCAAGTAGACTGCCTTTACTTCCCAGGACTTTTACCAGACCACAGGTCCCGCAGGCAAATAAAATATAAATATTTTCGGAACATCAAATATATGAACAACTGGGAGCTGAGGTAGCAAAGTGATATACAAAGTCATATACACATTGGGTGGGTAAAAAACAAACTGACGGTTCCAAGACAAATTAATCCTAAAATTTGTAACAGGTAATGGCATGGGAAGCAAAGGTGGTCAACAGGATACAAACATCATCATACAGGGAAAGCCAACTTGACTTTCTCAGACTATATCTGGTACCCACTCAACACTTCAGAGTCAAGGCCATTGAAACAACAAAAATCTAGGTCCGCCAGGATCCGAACTCACGACCTTCCAGCTTATGCACTGACATGAAAAGGCTTCTTCACTTACACTACTATGTTTCTTAAAAAAAAAGCCAACTGTCAAACAGAAAATGGTCGTCTAGAACAGAGGCAGAATGTTGTAGAAAACATGTAGACATACATTCACTAGCTGACTCACCTTCTTGCCCACAGCCACGCCAAGTGAGAACGCCACTTCAGGAATACTGGAAGATAAGACAAACACAAGCTGTCACAAGTTGTCTGTTCATCTCTTGAAGGCAGATAAGACAAACACAAGCTGTCACAAGTTGTCTGTTCATCTCTTGAAGGCAGATAAGACAAACACAAGCTGTCACAAGTTGTCTGTTCATCTCTTGAAGGAAGATAAGACAAACACAAGCTGTCACAAGTTGTCTGTTCATCTCTTGAAGGAAGATAAGACAAACACAAGCTGTCACAAGTTGTCTGTTCATCTCTTGAAGGAAGATAAGACAAACACAAGCTGTCACAAGTTGTCTGTTCATCTCTTGAAGGAAGATAAGACAAACACAAGCTGTCACAAGTTGTCTGTTCATCTCTTGAAGGAAGATAAGACAAACACAAGCTGTCACAAGTTGTCTGTTCATCTCTTGAAGGAAGATAAGACAAACACAAGCTGTCACAAGTTGTCTGTTCATCTCTTGAAGAAAGATAAGACAAACACAAGCTGTCACAAGTTGTCTGTTCATCTCTTGAAGGAAGATAAGACAAACACAAGCTGTCACAAGTTGTCTGTTCATCTCTTGAAGGAAGATAAGACAAACACAAGCTGTCACAAGTTGTCTGTTCATATCTTGAAGGAAGATAAGACAAACACAAGCTGTCACAAGTTGTCTGTTCATCTCTTGAAGGAAGATAAGACAAACACAAGCTGTCACAAGTTGTCTGTTCATCTCTTGAAGGAAGATAAGACAAACACAAGCTGTCACAAGTTGTCTGTTCATCTCTTGAAGGAAGATAAGACAAACACAAGCTGTCACAAGTTGTCTGTTCATCTCTTGAAGGAAGATAAGACAAACACAAGCTGTCACAAGTTGTCTGTTCATCTCTTGAAGGAAGACACAGATTTACCAAATGTCTGAGAGGTTTTTTCCCATCTGTAGTGTTTCTGTGACCTCTGGTACTAGCATTCTCCGCTAAAGACTCCATGTGGGTTCCAGGGCTCTATTTGTATTTGGACAGTGCGGGTAAATCTCTTGTGATGATGGTAGCTCACAGTCACAAGCCAAGCAGTAAACTTGTGCAAGATACAGAATACACAAGGCCTGAGAGACAAACGAGAAAAGTCCACAGGTTGGCTGTCGGTCAGTTGCAAAACAGAAGTCGAGGAAGATAGCTGTGATAAGGTTGTTGTTGTTATTGATCCAGCTTTCACCCTTTGGCCCAATGCCATGTAGTGGAATTTGCATGTTTTCACAAGCTGTTCTTTTCCTCCGTACAAGGTGTTCCACCTGTCTGGTCCTGATTTGATAAATGTAGTTTAACTGAAGTGTACTAGTTCATGTTTAAATAATCATTGTGGAAGTTGGCCATGATTGCTGGGGAGAACATATTCACATGCAGATAAGCTGTGTTTGAACAGTGTAAGAATCAAGGTGAATCATCAACATTAAGTGTTGGGAGGAATAATTTGCCATCCAGTGTATGCTGGCTGCCACTGGCTATTGTCATGCCATGAAAGCATAGAGAATCTTAAATGCTGTCAATCCATATTTTCTGCGGCCGTCCTCTTGCTCTTGTAGCTGATATTCTGTGATGTAGTGCTTGTGATGGTATTTGATCTTGCTGCATTCTTAAGAGATGGCCAAACCACTTGATCTGCTGTTTCTCGATAAATCTAGTACAAGGTGTCACTCCACAATCTGTCTGATAGTATCACTGTTCACCTAATCTTGGATGGCTAGTTTGGCAGCTTTTCTCAGGCATCCCATCTCGCAAGTGGTGATTTTGCATACATGGGCTTTAGATAGTGTCCATGTTTGTCACAGATAGCTTAATGCTGAAATGAATATGATGTCTATAATTTGTCTCTTTGCACTCATAGTTATGCTTGGATGTCTTAAATAAGGGTGACATTTGGTATATAAGTGCACTTGCTTTCTGGCATCTAGTTTCTATTTCTCTGTCAATTCTACCATTTTCTGTGATCTTACTTCCTAGATATTTAAATTCCCTAACTTGATTAAGACCAGAACCATTCAGCTGTATGTGTAGTGGGCCAGAGGCAATATTTACATCGAGAATTGAGTGTCATTCTGCGTCATATATTTTGAAGGTCGATAACTGTGCACATGTGCAACAAGGTTGACTGGATAAGCAGGAGGCTAGCCAGTGTGTTGAAAACTCTAGATACTTGATCCAGTGTGTTGAAAACTCTGCAAAACTCTGCATACTTGATAGCTGTGCACAGGTGCAACAAGGTTGACTGGAGAAGCATGAGGCTAGCCAGTGTGTTGAAAACTCTGCATACTTGATAGCTGTGCACGTGTGCAACAAGGTTGACTGGAGAAGCATGAGGCTAGCCAGTGTGTTGAAAACCCTGGATACTTGATAGCTGTGCACGTGTGCAACAAGGTCAACTGGAGATGCATGAGGCTAGCCAGTATGTTGAAGACTCTGGATTCTTGATAGCTGTGCACGTGTGCAACAAGGTTGACTGGAGAAGCATGAGGCTAGCCAGTGTGTTGAAAACTCTTGATACTTGATAGCTGTGCACGTGTGCAACAAGGTTGACTGGAGAAGCATGAGGCTAGCCAGTGTGTTGAAAACCTTGGATACTTGATAGCTGTGCACGGGTGCAAAAAGGTTGACTGGAGAAGCATGAGGCTAGCCAGTGTGTTGAAGACTCTGGATTCTTGATAGCTGTGCACGTGTGCAACAAGGTTGACTGGAGAAGCATGAGGCTAGCCAGTGTGTTGAAAACCCTGGATACTTGATAGCTGTGCACGTGTGCAACAAGGTTAACTGGAGAAGCATGAGGCTAGCCAGTGTGTTGAAGACTCTGGATTCTTGATAGCTGTGCACGTGTGCAACAAGGTTGACTGGAGAAGCATGAGGCTAGCCAGTGTGTTGAAAACCCTGGATACTTGATAGCTGTGCATGAGTGCAACAAGGTTGATTGGAGAAGCATGAGGCTAGCCAGTGTGTTGAAAACACTGGATACTTGATAGCTGTGCACGTGTGCAACAAGGTTGACTGGAGAAGCATGAGGCTAGCCAGTGTGTTGAAAACTCTGGACCAAACCAAGACAGAATCTAGCATCATTTCAAGAAGCCAACATCAATGACCATGAGCTATAATGCAAAGCATGGTCATCACACCTCTGTTCCTTGACAAGCATGTCATAAAAGGCAATTAATTAAGGGTTTGCTGAAAGTGGATGCATTTGTCAGTAAAAGGTACAGATATCACAGCCTAGCTGAAAACTACAGCACAACACATTGACTGTATTGTTAAGGGTGGATGTAGAAGAGGATGATAAGGACAAGATCTACTTGGCACATGCTAACTCTGGCTGTCTGAGACATGAAATGATGTGTGAGACTGAGCCTTCCTACAATTACCACCAAGCTAGCACTTGTTACATTTAGTTCACAGCCATCTGGCTGAGGCAGAGCAGTGGCTAGCATACTTGCCAAGTGGTTATGTGTTAAAATCCTTTAGGTTGAGATGTTTGTATTGACAAGATCTCTCATGTCAACCCCTTTACAATCCATCCATATCCACACACTTTTCAGGTTCCTGCTGACAAATAAGATATTCACAAACAATATCCACTGCTGGTCTGCCCCCCAAGAGGCATCTGCAAACATGTCCACATCATCTTCATCTTCTTACTTGTGAAAACAGATGAAGCAAACTGTCCACACTATATGTGAACCGAGAGATGAACCAAACTACCAAAAGTCCTTGTGAACACGGACATGAATCATACTACCTACAAAACTTATGAATACAGACATGAATCATACTACCGACAAAACTTATGAATACAGACATGAATCATACTACCGACAAAACTTATGAATACAGACATGAATCATACTACCGACAAAACTTATGAATACAGACATGAATCATACTACCTACAAAACTTATGAATACAGACATGAATCATACTACCTACAAAACTTATGAATACAGACATGAATCATACTACCTACAAAACTTATCAATACAGACATGAATCATACTACCTACAAAACTTATGAATACAGACATGAATCATACTACCTACAAAACTTATGAATACAGACATGAATCATACTACCTACAAAACTTATCAATACAGACATGAATCATACTACCTACAAAACTTATCAATACAGACATTTGATCAAACTACCCATAGAACTTGTTGTAACTGACATGAAACAAACCGCCAACATACCTGTGAACAAAATTGGTGGTCCCATCAACAGGATCAATAATCCATGTGGGATCATCGGTAAGCTTGCATTGTTCACCTGTGGCTGACGTTGTTTCCTCACCAATAAACCTGAAATAATAAACACATTATTTCACAGCCTTCTCCACTTGTATTTATGGTTTTCATTTTCTGGTGTCATGTGTTTACGTGTGTGTCCTTATGTCATGTATGTGCACTATATGTGCACATGTGTTTTGAGAAATGAACAGGCAGACTGGCTCACCCTTACCCACACAAGACTTCAGGTTACACCTGGCTGCAGCAGCTGTTACAGGTGCCTTAATTATAAGTTCTTTGAAGGCTGAACAGGGTATCTGCGATCTACCTTGTTGATCTGCCATCCAGGTTGAGATTCTGTGATATCAAGATGGTATGTTCAACTTTTAGGTATCAGCCTGCAAGGGGCAAACTGATCGATCCATCAATCAGACTGACTCGAGCTGCATCAATGGGTGGTGAAGAGATGCCCGATAGGCTTGATGTGGTCAAGGCTCTTTGAGAGCAAGTGAACTATGTGGAACATTCTGGCGTGGAGAGAATGGTACAGTCAGAGGTGACCAGGGTATCTGGCTGGCCTTCAAAGGAAAGGCAAGAGGGACATATAATCAAACTGATGTTGGTATCACGTTGGTTTATATTTCAATGCTATACGTGGAATGTGAGCCTCATTTCAGAGAGAACAGACCCACAGCCATATCCGATCAAGCATGTCAAAAAGGTAGATTAATTAGAGGTGTTTTCTTCCAAGTCAATCCATCTGCACAGAGGCAAGGCATCGACAGTCTCTATACAAATAAGTCAGATATAAAAAATAAATGTGCACAACAAACTCAAATTCTGGAATAAGACCGAAAGTCCCAAAATTGATGAATAACTAGAACTGTCCAGCAGCTGGACACAGCTTTTCTCCTAGCCTCCCTCTGCTTCTCCTCCCTTCCAGCTTGCGTACTGTCATGATTCACTTCAGTTTTCCCCTGCAGCTAACATGAACAAAGACTAGATTACCAGTGAACAAACAACATTGCATACTTATGGCTAGGAAACTTGGTTGTGATGAGTTGATGGACCAGTATCTCCACAGCTTTGTCTGTCTCCGTGACCAAGTCTGCCTGGCTCTGCTTGGTGTCCACCAGTTTCTCTTTCAGGAAAGCTTCTTTGATCACCTGACACCAGACACATCAGTCACTTAGTTATCCTCAACATGGCTTCTCAATGTCATCACATTCAATCTTAATGGATATTACAGTAAAGTAAGGGACCCTTCTCCACACCTTCAGGTGTCTGGACACACAATGCTACATCTATATTTCACAGTCCAGTCTGCACTCGGTGGGTGATGCCGTCAACATCATGTCGGCCACCTTTACCTACCAGGACTTTTCCTGGTACCCATTTAAGGCTGGCTGGACCTGGCAGCCAAGGTAATTTCTAAAGAGAAAAAAATCTGGCTCCATTGGAATTTGAACCAACAACCTTCGGATCTGCAGGTGAGCATCTAGATGCTGTGGATATTACAGGTATCATATAATGTAAGTAAAAAAAAAGTAAAGTTCCCTTTTCACGCCTTTCAGCGCATCGGGCATATGGGCAGAGCGTCCCATATTTTTACAGACCGTCAGCACTCTGTGGGTCATATAATGTGCGTTGATTTAAAAGTGTTTACAGATGAGACTGTGTGAAGCTAACAGGGTCAACAAGTGCCTGCACAAGTCTGATAGGTCAGCCGAAAGGAGCACAAATCGCAGCCATGCTGTAGAAGGGCATAAGACATTTACATGTTGGGATGAACGCAGACAAAGAAGTCAAGCCAAGGAACATGTTCATGCCACTGTTGAGCTGGGTATTTGCTGCTAGACACAGATGTTTATAGACACTAATGGGCACCTGATGGTTGAAGCAGTCCAAAATCATGCTGTCCACCTTTACTTCACAGGACTATCTCGCACCAAGTTAAAGCTAAGTAGACCCAGAAGCCCTGGTCAATTATAAACATTCCAAGTCTGGGTTCCAAGGCCCACTTTAAAAAAACAACAAGGTGGAGTGGGTGTGGGGGGATAATAGACCTTGTTGTGAGAGGTGACTATTTAGGTGTGTTTCCTTTGGGGTCAAAGTGCATCTGCCTGGGAGGTGAGGAACTAACAGCTTGTACACAAATAAACCAGATCTGTCAAACTGATGTGCACATAAAACTTGAGTTCTCAAACAAGACTAAAGTCCAGAAGTGGATAAACAACCAGAAATCTGCACCAGATTTTACAGCCTTTGATTGCAAGTAGAATAACAATTCTAAATATCAACTTCAATAAATACAGATTCAAACCCAAGATGTCTAGGCCAGCAGGCAAGATTCTGCCATCTGTGCCACAAGGGCTCCATAAATATTTCATGAGTAAATCAAACACTGCAATTCTCCATAATCAAGCATGTTCACTGAGTAACAACAACAACACTTCAATACCCAACCTGTTCAATCCTGGACTGAAAACAAACAAATTAGGAATAAGTGAGACATCAAAGATGTGGCTTCTTGGACAAATGTTATTAAATACCCTGAACCTCAGCAACAGTAGCCTGGAAAATGTGAATGGAAGTAGAAATGTTGGCAACTATCTGTACTTGGCAACCTTGCATCTGTCCAGGTGAAGGTTAGATACTGTGTCACCAGGTGAAGGTTATATACTGTGTCACCAGGTGAAGGTTAGATACTGTGTCACCAGGTGAAGGTTAGATACTGTGTCACCAGGTGAAGGTTAGATACTGTGTCACCAGGAAACATAGCAATCCCAGCTGATGCTGATGGTGAGTGTCCCTAGCAATACTCTCTCTTTAGAAAATGTCTTCCTCGCTTTAAGTTTGGGATTCTATGACTATTGCTGGCATCACCAGTATTTGGTGCACATTTTCTCTGATGCTTAGCTCTTTTCCTGTCTGCAATTATTTTCTCCTTTGCAACCTTAAGATACACATTTTTTTCCCTGAGTGCTGAGTTGAGAAGAGTGGCAACAGAAAGCATGGTGCAGATCGGCAATAACAGTCGTAGAAGAGATTCAGGAATTGACTGACAGAACAACGACTAGGAGGAATATAAATAAAATTGATTCAGGTCACCACCAACTATGTAGCACAAGGAATAAATTGTACGATAAATACAATGACAAACAAACATACCTGGCCAGCTCTGCTAGCCACTTCAAGTGCCGTGTTATAAATCTCCTGCAGATCAACCTCCGACATCTCAAAATTGATGATTACAGGTTGCTGAAAGCCTTGCTCGTTGATGGGCGTTATTACACACGAGTCTTTCACTCAAGTAATAATGTTGCTGAAAGCTTTGCTCGTTGATGGGCGTTATTACACACGAGTCTTTCACTCAAGTAATAATGTTGCTGAAAGCTTTGCTCGTTGATGGGCGTTATTACACACGAGTCTTTCACTCAAGTAATAATGTTGCTGAAAGATATGACAAAATGTCTGGTATTTTCTTTCTTTCATGTTACCTGATGTGTCTTTAATGCTTAGGTACCTGCTCTCTCTCTCTCTATATATATTTACATATATGTATACATATACACACACACACACATACACAGTGGTACCTCAGCATAAAATGTCTCCAACCTCCCCTATCTGGCCTATTAATTGATGATGCACTCATAAATATAAATATGCTTCTCCCTGACCATCTCTTGATTGTGTCCACCCAGTTGTAACGTGTCTTATTCTTGCCACAATTCCAGCCTTCTCTATATGTAGCAGTTACTTTCAATAAATTTGAAATCATTAAAATATTTATTAAATAAATAAGTATCGCCAATTACTGCCATTATTTTACCACTGTTGCAGTGTAGACAGGGGGGTCTTTGAGCCTGAGGATTTATGGCCGCATGGCTAGTGCTGTCGCCATGACTGTGCCCCCGACAGAAGAAACCCCAAGCCTTACCGAGGGTTCAAGCCCAGGTCTCCCACTTGAGATTCCAGCGTCCTAAGCAGCCGCACCTAAAAAATCAGTACTAAAATTACTAATCAATCCTCACCACACTAATAAACAGGGCTTCTTCTGGCAGTATGCTGTACTGGGGGGGGGGGGGGGGTGCATCATCAATTTTTTCAGCGTCATTGTAAGAGACACTCTTAGATTAGTAGCAACATATTATTTTAGAAAAAAAGCCTTGGTAATAAAAATTTCTCATTGAATGTTTTCCTCATGTAGGTTTCGAGACTCCAGTTTCCACCACTACCACCATCAAGCATGTCCCGCAAGTGTCAACCCACTGGGAGTTTCCTTTTAAGTGGGAGAAGCTAGATGTTGTAAGGACCCTCTGGGAGGAAGTGAACAGTGAGTGCAGAGACACAGGTAGATCTCATTAGGGTCTGAGGAGACTGGTGCTGTGAGGAGATCCCAGGGGATCTAGTCGATGCTCAACACTCAAGGGAAAGACGGGCTATCCTCCAAATTATGGCCGCCAAAAACACACCCTGACTGGGCCTTATTAGGTCATGTGTTGTAAACATTTAAAAACTTGCTCAAAAATAATGAGGAATGAAAAAAAAGGGAAAATGACGAAATCGACTTCTTAGCGATAATTGAGGCCTTTATATCTAAAAATTGTGGCATAGAAGTTGCAAATAGTGCCCGAAAATCTGCTCTTTGTGTCTGTGGCACCACTGAAACTAGGCTAAATATGATCGTAACAAGCCGAGGCTAGTGGCACCTTGGTAATGCAGTTTTCACCGCCGAGAGTATCCACCACAAAACAGACGCCTTTTCCGGGTGGACGACAGCCTTCATTTCTGTACACCACTCAGTCACTTTGTCTACTGTCCCTTGTAGCTCCCGGGCTGTTTGCTCCCTCTCTTCCCCCTGCCTATATGCAAGTATATCATCCGCAAAAGTCAGAATCCTTCCAACTCCTGGTGCTTCTAGGCTTGCAATCTTGCTTGTATACACATTGAAGAGCACAGGCGAGATGGCAGATCCCTGTGGCAGTCCTGAGGCCAACGTGCATGGTTCAGAGGTCCATGAGCCCAGTCGGAGAGCAACCCGACGTGAATACAGGACAGCTGCAACCCAATTCACCAGCCATGGATTGACCTCCTTCTCCCTCAGTGCAGTCATTAAGATGTCGTATCTCACTCTGTTATAAGCATCCTCGAGATCCAGTCCTACCGCCATAGTTTCCTGTCTGTTCTGGAACACTTCATAGACGTCAAAAGCAAAAGTGGCCGCATTTGCCCAAGTGTCCTTTCCTGGCCTGTAGCTTCCCAGACCTCTTGGGAGAAGCTTCCTACTTTCCAAAAATTCTTGTAATTTTACAGCAACTATCTTCTCCAAGACCTTCCCAAATGTGTTTTGTAAGGTGATGATTCTAAAGCCACTAAGCTTAGAATGATCTTTAAAAGGTTTTGGTAGTGGGATTAGATAGCTGTGAACCCAGTCTTGCGGTACTGATGCTGTCTTAATACTCTGGTTAAAACAGTCGGCCATCTCTGCCAGGTCTACATCGCTTAAAGCCTTCATGTGACCATACCTGACACCATCAGGCCCTGGTGCAGTGTCTTTTGCTTTTTTTCAAAATTTGTTTGATATCTTCCACTAGTATCATGAGTGCATATTCTTCAAGGTGCCAGCTAACTCCTTTCTAACTGCATCCCTGATGTCTACATCATTATGATCTGTCTGAGCTATAAACCTATGGAGAAAAGCCTCCCCTTTCTCCTTGTCTGTTGTCACATGCACACCATCGTCTCTACAAATTGTTCCGACTGTCATAGGCCGATCTTTTCTTTGCATCTGCCTTTGCAGTTTCAGAATTTCCCCAATGTTTTATCGCCTCCCATGTCATTCACAAAAGTTTCCCACTTTGCTCTTTTGGCCTCTGCAGCACAGCACTTGAAAACCTCCACCTTATCTTTCTTCACATTCTCCGCCATCTCCACTACCTCTCGTGAGCTTGAGGGTGTCTGTCGTACTTTCTTTAGCTGCTTCACTGCGGCTCTCTTTGATTTCCATGCCTGTTGGACTTCTGGAGTCCACCATGGGGGCTGTAGAAAATTAGTTCTGGCAGGTCTTTTGCATGCTCCCCGTCTGAGGCGTCCAAGCAGGTTGTTGGTCCACTTATACTGAAAGGTCTTGGGTGCTCTCCCAACCTTAACCTTACTGAGTTTAGAAATCAAGACTGAACATGGTAGGTGATCACTCCCATGGTTATTCAGGACAGTGCATTTAACATCTAAAACCGATTACTGAGAGACAAATGTCAAGTCAATGGCTGTGTCTGCATCTCCAGACCTCAGTGCCATTCTGGTCGCCCTCCCATCATTGATGCAAACCATATTGGAGTCAACCATGGCCTCTGCAAGAGCAATTCCCTGTCGGTTTTCTCCACTGCTGTCCCATTCTCTGTTCCTCGCGTTGAATACCCACATATGAGTAACCTATCAGCTGGTAACTCCTCCAATTCCTTGAGCCAGCTCCATTGTTCAATTCTGAATTCTGACAAAACAGTCTACCGTGGCATAAATATTTATGAGGTTCCAACTTAAGCCACCAATTTCCACCTGTATCCCTTGAACCTCTCGTCCACTGTGGTTCCACTGGCTCAAGTCAAGCACCACATGCTTCACTCCCTCCTTCACCACCAGACCTTGTGCATGTCTCCCCTGTCCAACAGGGTTTATATAACTGACGTACCCCCGGCAATGATATATGTCTGTATTAAGCTCCTGGAGCATGAATTACAGGTATTAATTACTACATAGAAAGTAGTAACTAAAAGTAAGCGAAGAAAGCAGCTAAGTCACTTACTTGACTTACTATTAGTATTAGTAGTTGTAGTAAGTAGTATAAGTATTAGTTTAGTATTATTAATTAGAATTAATAATTAATAAGTCAAGTAAGTGACTTAGTTAGTAACTTAGTTTAACTAATTTAAACTTCTAATAAAGAAACAAGCTTTGCAAACGTCATCCGTGCATCAATAATTGACGTTTAAATGGTTTCCTTCCCCATGAAAGATAATGAAGCTACCGGTTTTAGTCCAATTCAATGAATCTACAAATAGAACACTAACTAATCCGCATTATCAACACAAACATCTCCTACCTGTTAACGTATCGTCTGCCGACAACCAAAATACAACCAGAGTAGACTCCCTTCCTCGTCTCACACAACGTGTCTTCGGAGTTTCTCTTTTTAGTTTCTACGTATTATAATTATCATTATTACTATTATTATTATGCGCTGTGTTCTCTTCCTTGCCCTTATACTACTCATCATCATCATTGTCGACTGGCATGGGCGATCATGCCTCTCCATAATCCACGATCTCCTGCAGCATGTATCAGTTCGTGTGCTGAAACACCTCCATGCCATGCAACAAGACCGTCAAGCATCTTCTCTCGTTGTCTTCCTCTATCCCTCCTTCCACAGATCTTCCCAGTGGTCACAACATGTTCTATTTTCCCTCTTCTCATAACATGGCCGAAAAATGATAACTGTCTTCTTCTGATGTCTGTGATAAATTGTCTTCGGGCTCCCGCCTCTTTCAAAACCTCTTGGTTGCTCTTTTTGGCTGTCCATGGTATTGTAAGCATTCTTCTATGAAACCACATCTCTGAGGCCTCCAGAAATTGTTTGGCCTGCCTACCGATTGTATAGGATTCACAGCCATATATTAAAATTTAATGCATGTAGTAAGCAAGAATTCTTTTTCTAACTCTCAGTGACAAAGATATATTGCACAAGATGTTCTTCATTTTATAAAATGCAATTTGTGCCTGTCCTATTCTGTTTCTTATCTCACTTATGCATCTTCCATCTGGTTTTATCCATGTGCCCAGATACTTTAATTTCTGTACTTATCCTATAACACCATCGACTTTTATTACACATTTAAGAATAATTCGTTTCTTTAATACCCCATTACTTCTGTCTTCCCATTATTCAAACTGAGGCCCATTCTTCCACTTTATAACACCACAATGTCTATCATTTCCTGTAGTTCTTTCTGACTTGTTGCTATCAAGACTGTGTCATCAGCATAACGCAAACTGTTTATATTGTGCCCACCAACCACAATTCCGGGCATATCAATTAAAGATCTCATTATATATTCACTGTATATTGAAAACAAATCAGGTGAAAGTACACATCACTGTCGTACGCCCCTCTTTATGCTTTGAAATGTACCTAAACAGTTGTAAATTCCTATAGCTGTTGTTTGCTGCCAATACAT